AAAAATTTAGAGAATATGCACGGAGTATACAACAGGCCGAACCTGGCTTCACGTAGTCAGACAGTCCAAAATCAATTGCCTTCAATGTGGATTTTCATCCTTAGAAGTAAAAAGAAAATTCTGAAGCAGAAAACGATCATCTATGTTAGGAAACCAGTAGAGTACCACAAAAATTTAACTTGGAATCTTTTACTGTAATTTTTCATTGCAGTTTAATTTTTTTTTTTTTCCTTAATGCCTTCTAGAATAATTTTAAAATTTATTTTTAAGTATAAATATTCACAATTTAGGGTTCTAAACTAGAATTTTCCTTTTTTAAATAATAGATAATCAATGAACAAGCACGGATATAATAAAACCTGTCATTAATGATCTAAGGAAGCCCTAGGTCCAAAAAAAGAAACACAGTTAATATTGTCTAGCAGAGTGTTTGCACCAAAAATGTAATTTTAACAGAGTAACAAGCTTCATGAGTTAATCACCTCTGGCTTGAGATCACGATGAATCACGCCCTGCAGATGACAGAAGGCCACCACACTTAAAATCTGAATCATGACAACCTTGGCATCCTCTTCCGAGTACTCTCCCCGCCCCTATAAGTTACAATTGACTTTGTGCTGATTAGAATGTCATTAATTATAGCAATGGTACCAAAATGAAACTAGAATGTCCTCCTCTACTTTTCTTTCTCTCTTTTTTAGTTTGAAAAAATGGAAACAGGAGAACATCTCACCTGGAAAGAATCCTATCTAGCAGCTCACCTCCTTTGCACAACCTGAGTTGCATAAGTTAATCAATAACTCCGAAAGTTGTAATGGAGATCCATGACAGATTAACAACGGGAATTTTAAATATATATTTATGTATGTATGTATAAGAATAACAATTAGAAACTTCAACTTACTCCATAACTATATAAACATTTTCATCGTCTTCATAGGCTTCATAGAACTGCACTAGGTTCTCGTGTCCTGCAAGAACCCGCAATATCCTGACTTCTCTCCGTACATCCTCTATAGCAATGGCTGTTGTCATCTGCTGGCAATTTATCATCCAACGTCAGAACAAAATAGTACTCCAATGGTCTTAATAACAATAATCAATAGCCTAAAGGCACCACAGATCACCATGATTCCTGTACTCAAGCATGCGATTTGAGAATATAAATAGGCCCTTCGAAGATGGAAGGTACTTCGATAAAGGGGGAAAGGCTATATTTCAGAGTTCACTTGAGCAAAGTAAAAGTTAAACCTGATTCTCTATATCGAATAAAAAGCATACAAGCCTCGCGAAGTTATTTGATTACGTGATGACGTATGTTCCAGAAAAAACCGTGCCCACAAAGGGTATTTTCAGATCATGACAGAAGCAAATCATGAATGCAATGATTGTTAGGATGAGGAACCAAATTTTTGATCTCTGTGTTTTATCTTATACTATTCCCACTGCATAAATTCACAACAATATAAATACAGAAGGGAAGGTAGAAATTAGAAGGCTCTCAAGACCTTGGATTTTGGAATGACTTTGACGGCCACATCTTGCCCCTTCAAGCTGCCTTTCTTTCCCTTGGCGGAGCAAGTATACCCAAAGTGCCCACGACCCACCTCTTCTCCAAGTTCATAATGAGCTGCGAACTGCTTCGAAAACCCGAAGTTCTTATCCAACCCAATCTCGCATTCGCCTCCTTCGGGGATGGAGGCCTCGTTTGGCTTCACAGAACCATGCCGGCGAGCGAGCAATGCCCGAATGTGCTTCGCCGGCGAAGGAGGAGGAAATGGGCGTTTGAAAATGCGCAAGGGAGTTGAGCTCACACTTGAATTTGCTGGTGAGTTCTTGAACAGACTTGGCAAGGGACTTGGGCTGTAAAAGGGGAAGTTTGAGGATTTGGGGGTTTGAATTTTTGGAAGCCCGTCCTTGTCATCGGGATATAATGGGTTTTCTCCATGAGTTTGTGAGATTTCAATAGGTTTTCCATGACAGAGTCCCATGAAGTCAGAAACCCAATAACAGAGCACACTGGAATCCACAAAATAATCAAGTGCAGAAGCTCTAAATATACAAGAGGATAAAGAGAAACTGAATTGAGAGATTTGAAGCAGCAAGAAGTTCAGAAAAGGGAAGTCATACTGGAATGGAGAGAGAAAAGGATTTCGTTGGGTGGAAACTTTAAGGGGACTGAATTCCTTTTGGTTGATCAAGGATGACCATACATGCAGCACAGTATTTCCTTGAACTAAAATCAGGGGAATTTATTGGAATGGAAAATCTGAGCGGGAGAAGTAATCCTGTAAACTGTTGACGAAAGGAACTATGCTTTTATGACTAAGCAAAGAAAGCTCGAGAGGGGAACTTAGTGAAAATTAGCCTATGAAAGAAGCAATCTGTAGTTAGAACAACAAAGGAAATGATGGTAGAACCAAAGCAAGAAGAAAACTAAGTAAATATTTTCCGATATAAAGGAGGAATGTGGGGAAGGGGGAAAGATGAGGAAAGTGAGGAGGCAAAGATGCTTAGCAGAGAGCTGCAAGAAAAAGAAAAAAGAAAACCCAAGCCTTCTTTTTGCATGGTTTTTCAAATTTTTTATTTAAAAAAAAATTCCTCTTCCATGGAATGGTTTGCAGAGACATGTATCACTTTATTAGTGGTGATATCCTTTCTTCTCTACTAATAATAAAGGTGAGTGGGGCATAGTTGGGATCCTTCCAGCCTGTCCTCATTGATCTCAGAAAAACAAGGATATATCCATTTCATATAAGACCAAGAACAACGTTATTTAGGAGTTCTAAATACAACTTCTGGCACTGTATCCATATTCAAGCTTTGACCTCCTTTGTTGGTCTCTCAAAGGCTGTCCTTTTCTGCTATTATTTTCTGTGTCTTCCTTAGAGAATCTGTCTTGCCCACAAGTAACTTGGAACCATTTCACCTTGAGGTGAATGTAAGTAAACATGCGAGATCTGTGCACACATAGAATTTCTTCTCCAAATAATTAAAAAATCGTGAGCCATTTCCTTATTCAGATTTGAGCAGTTCTATTCTGCAGACCAGACAGCTAACATATAAAGAAAGAGTTGGAGTGGAATGTAATAATAAAAGCATGATGATTATATTTTTAAGGAAAACCCATTCTGCAAGAATGTCTGCCGGCACGCAACTAAAATGAGTTACTTAGTCATCATTTGTAAACCAAACAACCCAAGTCCTCAGATTCAACCTACATCTTGTTAAGGAGAGATTAATTTTGATAAATAGTCTATCTGTGGACTCCCCTTAACATGTGCCACATGTGTCCTTTAGTTTGGTTTTGATTTAAAATCAGGTTTTGCTCCAAAGTTGGTGCTGCAACTTTTAAGCTCCACTATAAAGACCAGGGAAGGAGATCTAAGTTGACAAGAGAATAAAGGAGAAAAAGAGAAAAAATTTACAATCATAAAGGCTTTAAAGATCCATTCCCTTTGACTAGCATTATTGAGTATCACTTTATTCTTACAAGCTCTAATTCGCTACTTGTGGTAGGGGGTTTTCCTTTCCCCACAATCTAGGGTGTGTTTGTTAGGTATAACTTATTATAAAAAATTTGATTATATAATTAATTTTGAATATAATTAACTGCGTCATAAGGCATATAATTAATTTTAATCAAAATTAAAAGTAAAATTGAAAAGCAAAATTGACAATCAAATGAAACATGATTTTATGAAAATATAACTAAACATTTCCATTACATGTTAAAATTAATTATGAATTTAAAATTATTGTTTTCAAAAAATATTCAAACACTCATTATGCATGCCAAAATTATGATTTTTTAAAAAAATATCCAAATACCTCCATACATATCCAAATTAATTATAAATTCAAGACTATGATTATCTCATAAGTTATTATTACTTGCTTCTCAATTCATATTTTCAATTATACTTTTTTAAAATTTATTCAAATTATATAAATTATTTTACAAAGCATTTTTTGGTTTATAATTGATTTTAACATGTATACAAGTGTTTGGATATTTTTAAGAAAACCACAATTTTAGCCTTTTAGGTTCATAATTAATTTTAATATGTATAATGGGTGTTTTGATATTTTTAGAAAAACATAATTTTAAATTCATAATTAATTTTTGGTGCATAATAGAGATATTTAAATATATTTTCAAAAAATCATAATTTCGACATCAAAAATTGATTCAAAATGTTATCCAAACATGCACCTAATATGGCTACACTTGTAGAGTATGCCACATATCATAATACTATAGCATGCCCAAGCAATCGTTCATCTACAAAGATTTGGGCATAACTATATTCAACCAACCCTGTCCAACAAACCAGCGTAATGAAGATGTCAATCATATGGTAGCTTAACGAAAGTTTCAAAAATATAAAGATGATAACTTTTAGAGCAACAATTCAAGAATCATATACCCTTTCTTTTTAGCTAGATCACGCCTACGAATCACAACCAAAGCTTTAATGACATTTAAATTGGATGTTGGCCATTTCTTGGAACCACAGACACACATATATAATAAAAAGGCAGTTTATATTTATGCCTATAAAGTTTTGGATGAGGGTATATATTCCACAAGCACAAAGGCTTTTAACCTCTTCCTCTTCTTTATTCCTCACCTTTCACTAAAATTCAAAGCACCAAACTTTATTCTGATTTTGAACTATTTGTAATATTCATATATTTGGTCGATTTGAAAACAAGGAGACTAAAAGGTTAAAAAAGAAAGGAACGGCCTCAAAACCCAGGAAAGCTAAGCTTTAGAGCCTTGGGGCTCCAGTGATGTTACAGAATATATGCACTAGGTTAGTATAGGCATAGATGGCTACGGCCTATAACATGAATATAAGTACTAAATTATATATGTAACCGTATGATGGTACATTGGCGATTCCATATATTTGACCATATATGAAATGATTAAGTCAGGTTGGCACTTTGTAAGCCACGGTATGATTGCTGTTAATTTATTATATAAGCACAAGCTGGTGCATTCCCTCTGTGACTTGAATATAGAGACAAAAATATTTTATATTACCAACTAGAAATGTGCATATTGAATCATTTTCCTAACTGCCATAACACCTTTTTTAGATGATTAAGAATCAAGAAAAATGATTACTGATCTTCATTCTGTCAGATAAACATACTATCTATTTTCTATTTTCAAAATCTGCGGAGTGCATCTCAATAACGAGAACCAGTGTGTGTGTGTGCGGGATGGTTTAATCTTAATCTTCCGTGATGATTCAGGAGTTGCAAAATCCCAAGCTGGTCAGCTTTGACTTCTCTCCTTTGCCACGTGAACACTTATATGCTGTTAATTGAAGATTTTCAGGGAAATGCAAGTGATAGGAAAAACAACCAGGAATTGGCAAACGTGTGGAGTTTATGTATTAATCTCCTTCCCATTATGAACTGAGACTGGAGAGTCAGGACTGGCCCCGCACAACAGAGTGGTTGGGGCTCTGCGAAGCAAAGAGAGGTGGGGAAGCAAGAACATAGATTTCTCTCAGTTTTCTCTCTCTGGTTCTGAAATCCCTGTTTGACCCTCTTATGAAGACACAAGACAATCAAAGGCGGGCCAGTGGGGTGACCTGTCTTGAACCTATGACCGCAGACTCACACTAATCTTAAAGAAAAGAGAATTGCGTGCCACGAATAAAATCTAGGAAAAGAGCAGTTATTGTGGCCTTGGATGGTTCCGAGTGGACAGTGGCAAAACTCTTGAAAGAAATATATTCTGTGAGCGTGAGAATATAATTTAGATTTGGGACGTGGGAGGGAGGGGGCGCGAGATAGAGAAGAAAGGTAAAAGAAGGACTCCAATAGTGATACTTTTTGATGTCACAGTGGACTTGAAAGAAATTCTTATTCTTTGATACCCTGATCCTGCATGCCAGGCCGCTCTCCGTCCTTTATTTTTATTTTCTTTCTTTTAAATTTACATAGAGCTGGTATGGATAAAAATGGGAGGAATAGAATAAAAGTAGGTACATTTTGTTCTCAGGAGCACCAAATACATAAAAATAAACAACAATAATGCTAGTGAACATGGAAGAACATGGGGCACAGAGTTGTCCAATGGACGCGGAATGAAAAAAAAAATCCCGGAAGAAGAAAACCACATCTCCATTGTCAAACCATTTTGGTCAAATGTTTGTTAAGAACCCCGCTTTCATTGTTCAGAATCCAAAGGCCCCTGCCGAGCGCTAATCACGACATATCTAGCTGATTCTGAATTATATGATAATTATATGATACCTGATCTCTCTCTCTCTCTCTCTGTCTTTCAAAGTTGACAAGAAAGAGTAAGGTGTAATTAATTGGTGGGGGTGAAGATTTTTCATGAGAAGTTGTTGGGAGAAGGACAAAGGGGGAGGAGGAGGTGGGACAATGCCTCGGGGAATGTTATTAAGGAGGGGCACATCCATGTAATGGTGAATTAATTAATGAGTAATAATGGTGTTATATATATAAGTTGGCTAGCAAACTGTGGGAAAGGGGCCTGGAAAGTTGGACACTAGTTTGGCTTGTTTTCTTGTGCCTGGGTTGGGGAAGGCTGTAATAATGCCTAGAGAAGTGCGTATGCATGAACGGTGATTGGTTAATCTACTTGAAGAGTGAATTCTGTAGAAAGATAGCGCATGTTCATGAGATTTGGATGTGGAAACTAGAGCATTTGATTGGATTAGCTTATTCTGGGGCTACAGTGAACAGTATGTGGTGGTAATAGCTTGAGAAGCGTCGAGAGGGAAGAGTGGGGAGGAGGCCCGCAAGATGTGGATCATAATATAATAGGAGAGTAGGTGACCCACCATGGAAATAGGAGAGATTTCTTTCTTTTTTTTTTTTTTTTTAAGATTGGAATCGAAATTGGAATTGCTTTGACCAGAGCTCGGAGAGAGAGAGGGGGGGGGGGAAGAAAAAGGGACGGCCATTTGGGAAGGTATTCATCATTGAGCACTTGTCGCGTTAATCCACTTGCTTAGGGAACGCAACACTGTTTTTGTGTCCTCCCATTTCCCTCCATTTTGACTCTAACTCGTCTCTCTTCATGTAAACTTTAGTACACGTTAAAATATTTTGATCCGGAGAAGTATAATATAAGATACTATAAAGTTGTCTGTAATTTAAACATAACAGTGGATAAGATTAAGACAATAATTTAGTGGGAGGAAAAAACGCGGAAGCCTTTGTCAAGAAAGGGTAGAGGAATATATCAGCCAAATTTGGTTATTTAAACTGTGTCCGATCTTTATATAATCCACTTTTTACGTAGAAAGGTGGATTATTAATTTTTCTTTTAACTTTATTCTTTTGTGATTTTTTATGAATAGAGAGAGATGTTGCGTTTGAAAGAGAAACTGTTTTTAAAGGTCAATGATAGAGCTGGAATTTGTTTCTTTTTAAACAATATTAATAATTTAATTGTCTCCTTAAATTTAATAAAATAATTAGAAATATAACTTATATAGAAGATGAGAGAATAA